CACCTCTGCTTATCATCCTTGGACACTCTTATTTGCAGGTGGAAACGTCATTAACATGAGCCAATGCAGCAAATGTCAGACTGTTAGGGCTACAAGAAACCCATCAAATTCAGGACCAAGAATTCATTGTTAGAATTTCCTGTGATCCTTGAGGCCACATGAAGAAAAGTCATTGTCACCATGAAATGTATTTATACTAGGATAATGAATGATGTGCACTCTTTGAAAGGCCTAAAATATTTATGGAATAAGAGAATTGTAGAGATTGAAGGAATTTTAGGGACTACTGATTTCAATTTTTTCTGTCCAATTTTGAAATTATTATATTCTCAATATTCTTGAAGGTAGTAATTTAATTCCCAGCTAGTAGAACTGATCAACTGAATTAAGATGGGAATGAAAATAGTGGCTGATTAGGATTTGAAGCCTAAATTCCTAGATTGATACCAACTAGATCACAGAGCTTACTGCAGATATTAAAAGTAAATATCGCATAATATTTGAGATGATTAAATGTCATCTTCAAAAAAGATATGAATTATCACTAGAGAGAAAACAAATGAAAACAATCTAATTTGAGGAAACTGATACAAACAAAATCTACAATAAGATAGATTTGCAATATGCCTTTTAGGGGCACTAAAGGCAATTTAAAAAATATATTTTTATTGATTTCAGGGAGGAAGGGAGGGGGAGAGAGAAATAGAAACATCAATGATGAGAGAGGATTACTGGTCCGCTGCCTCTTGCTCACTCCCTACTGGGCATCAAGTCTGCAACCTGGGCATGTGCCCTGACTGAAATTGAACCATTACCTCCTGGTTATAGGTCAATGCTCAACCACTGAGCCATGCTGGCTGGGCTGCAGGCAACTTTTGTGCGCTATAAAATTTTGCTCCAAATTATAGGGTGCTCCAAAAAATGTATACACACTTTAAATAACTATAAAGACAATATTTATTTAAATACATTTCATTTTCAAAATCGAGCTATCAGCTGTTAAAATGTGTATATATTTTTATGGGACACTATTTTTTGGACACTTACTGCTATGCTACTCAATAAGATGAGTGATTTGAATTAAGTCACTTGTTCTTCACAAACAACTCTAATGAGGTTGTTATTAATATTCCTGTTTTAAACACGAGGAATCGAAGGCAAAAGGAAGTGACATCTCTGAGACGGAAACCCTGGCGGTTAGATTCTGGAACCCATGCACTCAGCCATGGTGAGGGGCTGCCTCCATCGTGGCCACACTGCCTAGGGCAGCCCTGTAACATTGAATAAATATGGAACTCTCTAACTTTGCTTCAGCCAGTCTCTAGATCTGTCCTTCAGCACTGTCCCATCAAATCTGGTGAGTCAATGTTGTCCCTATCTAACATGTCATTTTTTCATGTCATCAAGCAGGGTTCAGATTAGGGTAATGATTGAGAACCTCATACAAATTAGAACAGATTTTTAAAAATCTTGGGAAAATATAAGTAAGTAAAGGGTCTAGAAACCATCTCAATACATGATTACATGAACTTGGGATTGTTAGTATACAAGAGGGAAGATAGATAAAGTAAATGGTGGTTATCTTCAAGAATTTGAAAGCCTTTCACAGTAAAAGAAAATTAGAAATAAGACTGGGGGTTATAATAAGTAAACCTTTTAGCTGAATGTAATAAAGAACTTTGTAATAATCAGACCTGTTGATAATGGATTGGGTTATCTTGGGACCTAAGGAGGTTCCCTTTCTCTAAGAGACCAGAAGACAAATGATCAGGAACACTGCAATGGTGGGCTGCTTGCCTGGTCCTCAAGGTCCATTTTAATTAAAATATGACCATTGATTCAAACGTATGGTTTCTGAAGTCAGATATTAAAGCTGTTTAATTCTTCATTAAATTTTCTTGTTAACTATAGTGTTTCATTAGAGTCGTAATGGAAGTCTGGGCTAACGCCCTACAGGTGACATTCTGGGACTCGGCCTTTGGAGGCAGAGTGCCAAAGTGATTGGTAATGTTTCTTTCTTCTCGTGGTATTTTTTGGGGTTACTGGAAATTGCTAGAAGAGAGAAAATAACTGTTCTATTCTGTATTAAACTTGGTAAGAACAAGAATGAAGTCATGTTGACAGGGAGAATTCTTAGAAAATAAAAAAATGGCAACATCACTGGAGATAGTGGCAGTTCCCGCACTCAACTGACAGGTGGCCTGTGACCTTGTTCTGCTCCCAAGTCCTGTCAGGACTCCTGGAAGACAATGTGGATGCTCAGAAAAATCTCCCAATCTGTATTTGTTTGGGAATAAAGGCTTCCTTTTTCTGAAGGGCCACCTTGCTAAAATGATATATGCATTCATGCCCTATGTCCTGGCTGGTCTATCAGAACAACCCTAGGCCTTGACCTCGGATGAGGTGGGAGGAGACAGAGGAGGTAAGAAGAGCCTGGGGATTGCCTAGGCTCAGCTGCCAAGTCATGCTGTCTTCCTGTCCACCCCCACCTCCCATAATATCACAACACCTCCCCTCCCACCACCCTGATTTGTTCTCAAGGTTTCATTTTGATAAAGAACCTGCCTCGGTTTAGATCAACAAACCTACCCATTGATCTACAGTGAACTGAAATATTCTATGAATACACAGAAATTATTGAACCAAGGAACACTGTGTAACTTGTTGGGCAGTGCTTTCAACAGAACCTTTGAAAATGTCATGCTTTAAGTGGAAATGTATTTAGCAATATCCTCCTAGTATACTGTCCTAAGTATCTTTTTCAGTTGATTAAAGCTCCCAAGAGATATAAAAACTTACTGGATGTATAGTAGACATGGGGACAGGAAATTACACTGACCATGAGCTGCCTTTGAGAAAGCAGTTGCACTAGAGTAGAAAGAGTTCTGGATGTGTAGCAGGAAGACCTGGGCTGGAAGGCATGGTCTTGAAGGACTACTGAGGGCAGTGCTTGCCAGTATGTCTATGGGGCAGGGCCACTTTTGTTGGTTGGTTGGCTTATTTACATATTTTAATTTTCAATCCATCACAAATGGATGTTTTTGTAAAATATAATAAATATAAAAAGTTAAATTCTTTTTTATTATAAGATTCAACAGACATAACATTAGCCTGTCAAATGGTCATAAACGTGTGTAAAGGCTGGCTCTCATCTCTCTGGCTGCAGATGGGCAACAAGCAGTTTGCGGATCACTCTTTGAGTAGCTGGCTTTGGGGAACTCAGCCTTCCTTAGTTTCTCCACTTAGTTTCGCAAGGTAGTGTGAGGATTCAGATGATAACAAAGGTGTGTTATCAACTAAAAAGTGTCATCCACATGTTAAATTTGCATTGTCCTCATTATCATAACAGTAGTTGAAAATGATGACAAGGGGCCACATACATTTTTTTGTTCTTCTGTGAAGGTAGCTATTAATGTGGCGCAATAAAGTTAGCATACCTAGTGGCAGTGACTTCCCTGAGCCAACAATTTCCCAAATACAGAATGCTTGGCCTATTAGCTGCACCAGAAAGCTCCTGAAGTGTCCTTCTCGTCCCTGGCTCTCTGCCTGGTGATCAGCTGGAACCTCACAGTGCCATCTTCCTCCTGTAGGGCCCAGTTAACAGAGCCCACTAACCTAGGACAGGCATTAAGGGTCCCAGCTCAGACACACCCTTCCCACCAGATCGCCACTTTCTTCTTGTCAGGCCAGGGAACTAGGTCAAGCAACACGCCTTGGAATCATAGTGGGAATCATAGTGGGAAATTTTAGGCACCTCTGGCCACAAGAAGGGTGGTGTTTGAATACAAACACATACACACACACACACACACACACACACCACACACACAACACTCATGTACCGCTCGCGCTCACGTGCACACATACACATGCACACAGACGCACACGCACATCAGAGCCATTCAGAACCAGCATGAGAGCTCTCCCCAGGTGGTGGGGATCAGGGTCTTTGCTGAAGGCCTGCCCTTGGGTTTCTCGGGGCAGATCCCCCAGCAATGCCATTGGAAGCAGATTCTAGTGAAAGGGGGGCTGCACCAGTTGCTGAACATTAGAGGCTCACACGCATCTAAGCAGACTGCCGTGCTCCGCCTCCTCCACTGGCAAGAACAGGGCACTCTCCACTTTTCCCATCCCTCTGGTTTCCCATCGCCATTCTGCCAGCTCTCGTATTTTCTTATTTTATGTTCAAATAGGCATTTTTTATATCATAAAAGTAATATCTATAAAAGAAAAAATTAAGCAGTACAGGAAGATATGAAATAGGAAAACAAACAATTTTCTCCCCTATTCCCTGACCTAGGGGTAAGTACTATTAATGATTATGTGTGTATACTTTCTTTAAAATTTTTTAAAAAAATTGATTTCAGAGAGGAAGGGAGAGGGAGAGAGAGCCAGAAACATCAATGATGAGAGAAAATCATTGAATCAGTTGTCCCTGCAAGCCCTCTACTGGGGATTGAGCCCACACTCTGGGCATGTGCCCTGACCAGGAATCGAACTGTGACCTCCTGGCTCATAGGTCAACACTCAACCACTGAGCCACACTGGTTGGGCTATGTGTTTATACTTTCAAGAAATGTTAAGGCCTATCTATAATAAAAGCATAATATGCTAATTAGACCCAACAGCCGAATGACCTTCCAGACGTCCTTCTGGATGACCTTCCGGACGAAGCCTGGGCTGTGAGGGCCACACCCCTTGCACAAATTTCATGCATCGGGCGTCTAGTAGAAATATAATATGTGCTAACATATATGTCACTTTTTCTTTTTGATAAATGTGATTGTTACATAGTTTGGCAATTGGCCAACATGATTCTTTTGTGTGTTTTTTTCCCTATACTTTCCTTGACATTCAGATTTTGGTCTGATTTTACTTTCAAACTTTTCCCCCAGTAGCCTTCACAGCCCTGTATCATGATCAAATACCCAGCCTTTCTCCTCCCTCTTCCCCAGCCAAGTACATCCTCCATCCTCCACCCGTCCCCCGCGCCCCATTACCTTTCCAGCCTCTGCATGGTCATAGCCAGCGTCTTATTCAGCTCGTCTATCATCCTGCAGCTGGAGGGGTGCATGGGGAGGGAGCCGCTGGCGGAGGGGTGGTGCTGGCCAAGGCTGCCATACTGCAGCTGGTGCTGGATCTGGGACGGCAGGACCGTGTGGTGGTGCTGGGCCCCACCCTGCTGGCCGCTCTTCTGGGCTGCGTAGGATGCCAGCGAGAGGTCTGGCCCTCCTACAGGCATACAGATCATGACTTTCTTTGGAGGTAGCGGAGGTGACAGTTTCACTGGCAGACAAGGCAATTTCACAGGGGCTCCAGGATCTGTGGCAGAAGGTGAGAGACAGGTGTGAGTTTTGGGGTAAGAAACCCAGAACGTTGCACATGCCTACCTTGGGCTGTGGCTTTCAGGGATAAAATGCACCCACTGAAGACACAGCAGGATGAGCGCTCTCACCAAACACCCATCATCTCCTTTCCTGCTTAACGTGTGCTGGCTGCAAGGGCCCTCGGGACGCAGGCATTAGTGGTGCCTGCCACACAGCTGTTATTATGTGAATGCTCAGGGGAACCCATGGACCTTCGAGACCTGCTCTAGGATGCCCCATGATGCTTACAACTTGGCTATCATGATGTGAACATATCCTTTCAGTTGGCACTTTCTAACAGGCAAGATATTGGAAGTCAGCCCTAGGTTCAAGTCTACTAACAGCATACCACTCCACCGGTGACTTTAACAATGCACCCTCCATCCCCTCATCCCTCATCTGTAACCTGGGGATGATCTCTACACCTGGGAGGATCTGCTGTCACAGAGAGCTCTGGTGCCCCGTATGGGGGTGAGCTGTGAGCACGGGGGCTGGCCTGGCCCACCCACTCACATGGCATCCATGGTGGGCTGTTCAAACTGTAGGGAGGCTCCAACAGGCACTCAGGGGCCCGATGGAACTGGCCCCCACCCAACCCCCTGGTTCCATGACAGTGGCACTGAAACTTCCCAGAGATGCTCTGAATCGGGGGACACTTAGGGTTAGACCAGCCCTCATAGCGTCTCTAGGATGACCTTGCAGTCTTCTGCTGTACCCTACATTCCTGGACATCATCTAGCACGGGGAGGGGCTGGGGGGAGGAGGCATGGCTGAGTTGTTCTGGTTGCAGGCTGCATGGCCAGGAGGCAGCGGAGGGAGAGAGGTGGGCAAGTACAGTCCACTTCACACCTGGTGCTCATGCTGGGAGCAGTGCCGGGCTCAACTCTTGGTCTTTGAGGCCCTAGGTTTTTCTCCAACTATCTGTGTGCTTTGAGGGTGGCAGTATAACCGCCGCAGTCCTGCCAAAATGACATTCCTAGAGCACAAATCTGACCATGTCGCTCCTCAGTTTAAAACCTGCCAGTGACCTAGGACTAAAGCTCAGCTTTGACAGAGCACTCAAGGCTCCCACGGTCTCCTTGCTGATCAGTTCATCTCCTCATGTTCACACTTCACCTCCCTGAAGTCTGCTCGGTTCCTCCAGTTGGAAATAGCCTCTCCCATCTTACTTCTGATCAGCCTTTCTTACCACATGTACTGCTTTTCTCCCCTAGATTTCACTTATTTGCTCACCCCCTAATTGAGTCTCCATCCCCAGCTCACTCCTACCAGGTGGCCTTTGTCCCTCACATTCTCACAGGACGGTTGCCGTCCTCCCTGGCTCCCCATGCTCAGTGGCCACCTCTTCTATTTCACAGAGAAACCAAGGGCCCTCTTCCCTTTGATCAGGCCTTGTTCTTACCCTGACCTATAGGCATCGCCCTCACTCCTGAACCCACAGGCATCGCCCTCACTCCTGAACCCACAGGCATCGCCCTCACTCCTGAACTCACAGGCACCACCCTCACTCCTGTTCCCACAGGCACTGCCCTCACTCCTGAACCTCTGAGCTCCCTAAATCACCTGGCATTTCCATACCCCTGGGCCTTTGTCACTTTCCCTCAAATTGGAACTTTCTCTCTTCTGTCTTCTTGATCAATTCCTACTCTACCTTCAAGATCCAGCTCAAAAATTTCCTCTCCTGAAAAATTTCCGTGATCATTACATCACTCCTTCCATCCTGCACCCACGGGACCCACTTGGGCACGCGGATGTCAGTGCTGACATTGTCAGTATGTCATCAGAGCCAGCACTTACACCAGGCCTATTATGTGCCCCATGTTGTTCTATGCTTTTCATTTCTAACCAATTTTATCCTCACAACAAGCCTGTGATGTGGACACTGTTATTATCTCACTTTTACAGACAACGTCACTGCGCTCTGAAGACTCCGAACTGAGCCTCCTGTTTACATAGCCGGTTCCTCTGGAGAACAAAGACCGTGAACAATTTGTCATTATATCCTTAGCATCTTGAACAGGTGCCCAGCTCACACAGCAAGAGGCTGAAAACATGTTTACAGAAAGAGCTGAAACCATGATGCCCTTGTGAGGGATGAATTCACACCTTCGCAGAAGGTAGGCTAGGAGGCAGAAATGAGCATAAAATGGATCACAGCTCTGGGATCATGCAGCTGTGGATGCATGGACACTGAACTGCTGATTCTACAGCCGTGACACAGAAAAGCCCTATGGTTCCAAGGGGCCTGATGAGATGGCTCCCCTAACACCAAAATGTGAATCAATCATAACCACAAGGCTCCCCAAGCTCTCCCCCAAAGGCTCATCCTGTTCGACCACTCCCCATGCACAGGACACAGTGATGCTAATTCCAAAGTGGCTGAGAGCAGAAACTCACCACCTTTGTCCTGTTCCTGTTACTAAAGGAAGCATTCCTGGGGCTCTTTGACGTTTTAGCACAAACCTAGCAAATGCAATGTGTCTGGAAGCGTTAAAGCTCTACGTTAGAGACCCTTAACCCATGATTCCCTCATCTGTGGGTCCAGCTGTCTGTCTATGGTAGGCAGATGCTCAGATGCTTAGGCAGGAGAAAGCAGAGCCAGGAGGCGGCATGGAGCTGTCTGCCCAGGAAGGCACAGTGATGACATTGGGTTCTGTCCATCTTGTGATGCTCTAACTTCCTGCGCACCCTCCTCCACAGCGTTACTTATCATACTTCCATAGCAAAGCTTACTTGGCTTCATCATTGGAGAAACAGCCAAATGTATGCAGGAATTCTATCAAAACAGGCAAGGAGGAAATGACCAGTGGGACCAAGTTAGTGGAGATGGTTGTTTATTGTCCCAGGAAAGACCAGCTAGGGCCTCGGAGGACCCTCTCTTCCTCTCTCCTGCCTGCATCTTCCTTTTGGTTGTTTCATTACACACGAGCATACATTTAAGAGGGACAATGAAATTTTGTCTCAAGCAACAAATACTTAATCAGAAGTTTAGCTTTTCCTAAGTGTGGATTCAATGCATTAGACCCCTCTGTCCTCCTCCTTGCTGGTTTTGGCTTTGCCTTATGGGAAATGTATGCATTTGTTAGACGATAAATAAACATATCCCAATACTCACTTCTGTTCAGCAAGGCACTGACATTCCTGTAGTCAGAACCACAGAGTGAGATGAATGGATTGGTGCTGTGCTGCATGCCACCCACCTTTTCTTTCCAAGATACCAAATTCTTAGCATAGTTGTGAGGGTGAGACAAGACAATGTAGACATGCTTTGTGAATTAAAAAGCACTACAGGCATTCACAGTGTGACTACCAAGGTTCTTGCCACACCTGTGAGAGTTCACCTGGCCTCATGCTTCTCATCTAGGGTGTGAAGATGGAAGCCAAGGAAGCAACAGAGAGTATAGTGTTTCTGTTATACAGGGAGGGCAAAAGTAGGCATGCACTTGTTCGTATGGAAAATAATACAATCATGAATAAATAATAATACAAGGAAAACACTCTGAATTTCATGTACTCACAACCGTAAGCCCACTTTTGCCCACCCCTGAAGGTAAGCAGGGAAAAACCAGGTGAAAGTGAATCAAGCAGCAGAGCAAAGAGGCTTGCAAAGGACCGTCATTGCAGTCTGTCATGTTTGACGGAGAACTGCAGGAAGGGCAAAAGGCGGGGCCGTGCAGGTCTCAGTGTGCGTCCATGCGCGGCTCTGCATCGGTACTGAGAGCTAGTGGCAAAGAATGCAGATCTGGAGGTGAGAAAACCTGGATTCACTAGGTGGGAAAGATGGCTAACCTTTTTTGGGGACTTAGGCTTTTTTACCTCTAAAAATCCAGGGATAAAAACACCTCCTTTACCTTGATAGCCCCTCACTGAGTTGCTGAGTGACACTTATGAATTGTCTGAGGCCTCACTCTACCTCTTGCATTAACAATGACGACAGTGGCTGGCCCTGCTGGGGGCGCACAGAGCTCCCTGCTTGCTGACTTAGAAATGGATGAGTCCTCTACAGCCAGACCGATCAAGATGCAGTGTATTCATAAAACTGTCTCTGTTGATGGAGTGGAAGGAGCAAAAACAACCCGTTCCAGAGAACAAGGAAAATAAACCCAAACTGTGAGTGTCAAAGAGCCATAAAACCCAAGGGGGCTGTATTTCCAAACATGACACTGCTCTGGACAAGGAAAATGAAACCCTCAGATTACTTCTGCAGTCGGTTCTCTGGCCAGAGGGCTGTAGAATGAGTCTGGGCTAAGTGATCACATCCCCAGCCTCTCTTCTCACTTACTTAACACCTGCTGCAGAAGCCATCTGTAACTGCTGATGTATCAGATGTACTTGTTAATGATAGTAGCACTTAGTGTCTTAATGAAAAAAGATGTAAGAATTTCCCAGTTATTTGCTGGTTCCAGCAGGTCAGAACTTCTGGTCTCCTTTCCTAGCTACAGACATAAAGGGCATAAGACGTGTGCTAAGAACTTAAAGAAGAGTCCAGTATCACTCGGACTCCCCTGGCTGCAAGAGAGGCACTCAGTGCCTGGCTGGTAGGGCTCAGTGGTTGAGCATCAACCTATGAACCAAGAAGTCATGGTTCCATTCCCAGTCAGGGCACATGCCTGAGTTGCAGGCTCGATCCCCAGTAGGGAATGCGCAGGCAGGAGGCAGCCAATCAATGATTCTGTCTCATTATTGATGTTTCTATCTCTCTCTCCCTCTCAAAAATCAATAAAAATATATTAAAAAAGAAAAGAAAGACACCCAGAGGAGCTCCATCAATTTCTCCAGGCCAGCCTAGGGATTCTGTGGCAGTCCTTGGTCAAATGCTGTGAAGGCAACCTGCATTGACTGACCCTTTGTGGTGAAAGGGATGGTGTGGTGGGAAACAAGAGTAACAAAGAAGTTGTGTCCCCACCAACCTGGCCTGCTCTCCCAAGCCTGGTCAGCACACGGGGACTGCAGCAA